TTGTTGATGGGCACTTAGGTTGTTTCCAACTCCTTGCTATTGTGAACAAAGCTGCAGTAAACATGGGTGTGCATGGCTGGTTCCAATTTAATGATACGTAACAGTTCTATCACTGAAGAATTTGTGTAGATTGTTCAATGGCAAACTACAGTGCAATTTGTCCCCAAAGTACAGTATTTGAAGATTTACAGCCTTAAAATGTCTACGTAAATGAAGAATAAAACCCTTGAGCAAATAATCTCAAGCAATCAGAATAAAACAAAACCGTAAAAAAATGTGAAAGATGTACATAAGTCAATATAAAATAAAAATAAAGTGGAGAGGAAAGAAATGTGAAAGCAGGTAACATAGATAATAACTAGTTAAAATGTCTTTGGGTCAAAGTTTTTCAAAATTCATTAAACTGATTAAGCTTAAAAAAATTGATCAGTAGGAAAAAAAAGACCCAGCAACAGATACCTTGCCTTTCAACTTCAAAATTCTGCTATATCTTACTCCTAAAAATGTTTTCTGTCAAATTCTGGTCATCAGAATCTCCTATGAACTATATTTAATCTATATTAAACTAACTGGAATACTTTAAGGAGTATTTAAAGCTTAGAAAATGAGAATCACCTGATTACCCTAAATTTCTATCTCTATCCAAAAGTCTTTTCAATCAAGTTACAATAACACAAATAACTTGACCTTAAAGTACAGACTCCAGAAAGTACAAAAATAATGGCTAACATAAGCAAATCCAAAACATAGGAAGAGGACTGGAGAAAAGTCCAAGCATATTACTTATCAGATAATTGGCCACAGAAAAATAGAACAGTTAATTAAATAAACTTTCAAGAACCATTAATATCACCATAGCAATTAATGATTTAATCAAATGACTACAGAACTTTCTGAGTAACAAACAATTGCAAATGTACTTACAGTGCCGCCTACTATTCTTCCTAGTGGATACCATGCTCTCTCATCAAACCAATTTAAAAATTCATAGAACCCATGAGAGGCAAGATGATGTGTTGATCTATAGTTAAACCTAGAGAAAAAGAAAAAAGGGAAATGTTAAAAAATGTTTAACAGAAAGATACACCTTGCTTTGGATCTGTATTATATAAGGACGGGTAGGTTTCTAAAGAAATATGCTTCCACTTCTAACCTAACTAAAAACAAAACAAAGACTGCCATGTTCCAAAGATAAGCCCACACCTATAAAACGAGCAATGCTGAAATAGTTATGTCTGCCACTTTCGGTCCACACTACAAATCTGGATATAAAGGAAGGCCAAGGTCCAAAAAACTTAACAAATGTAAAAGGAATTCATGAATCTTAAAAAGGTTAAGAACCACTGATAAGAGACAGCATCAAAATAAAAAAAGCACATTCAACATAACCACCTCCAGTCCCAAAATTTAAAAATTTATAGGAGTAAAGAATAAATTATAATGCGATTTATGCAAAACAAAACCATCCATAAGATAATAAACCCTGGAAGCATTGTAAAGTGACTAAGACTTTGAAATTTGTGAAATTATAATCCCTGAAAGACTAATGAAACTGAAGAAATTGGTTTAAAATGCACACAGATGACAAGAGCCAAGCAGTGGGCAGCGCAGGGCATTCCACGCCTGGTCCACAGGAGTTATGGGGGACAGGAGGGCACTCCAGGGTGGTCCTGACAGAAACAGTGCCAGCAGTCAGGTGGGTAGAGGTGTAAACACTGCACACGGTGCGTCAAGAAGCCGAACAGTGCTGGCCACACAGTAATTAATGCACAATGTCCAACACTCCTCATCCTCACCCACCCTCCCTGTGACCAGATTCAAACCCTGCAGCTTAACAGAGACTTAAAAATATACCAACAAGTACGTCCCAAACATCCGGGGAAAGCAAGCATCATAATCAATAAACGAAGAATTAAAATAATAAAACAAGAGATATCTTCAGAGAGTGGGAACCAGGCAGCAGCAGACAGAATTACAGCCTGGGTTTGAATCTTAGTTCTTCCCTTACTCGTTCCACACTTAGCAGCTAGGGGTAAGTTAGTTGTAACCTCTGTGGTCTCCTCTCCGTTTGTAAAACACACTATCACTATCTCACGTGGTAGCTGAGTGAACACGTGAGGATCTCCAAAGCACTCGGAGTCCACTGTTACAATTATTATTATTACTGGTGGTGCGACTTTATGAACAGCAGATCTGAAGCCGTCCTAGCCCTGCCATCCTCCCACCTGACACACAAGAGCCCACTGCAGCCCCTGTCAATCCACCTGGTGAAGGGTCTTCCTCTCCTTCGCCGACCTTCCACCCTTCCAAGCATCATGTCCCTCACCTAACAACATGCTGGAAGTACATGAGGTGAAGATAAATCCTCGATGATTCTGAACAGTAAAAACATGATCGTCAAGATAAATAAAAAGTGGTGTAGTTCTTAGAGAGCTGGGCTGCTCCAGCTGTTGGTTCAAATCCACCAGCTGCTCCACGGGATGAAGGGGACAATCGGTACCTGAAAGCCTGCTGGAGGGTCAGCTGTGCATCAATTCTAACTGGACAGCAGTGACCGGACTTGAAAAAAAAATAGGCAAAAATAAAGAGGAAAGTAAAACAAGGTCAGAAGTATCATGGGAGGAAAAAGTAATCTCACAAAATACTCTGGTACCCCAGTGGTAAAAACTGCAGCCAACCCAAAAGCACTCAGTTCAAATCTACGAGCTGCAACGAGGGAGAAAGATGGGCAATGTACCATCTCCGAAAAGGAAATGAGCTGGAAGGTTCCCACTCGCTAGTGTACACACACACACACACACACACACACTTCAAGACATTCTTACATGTCTTTAAAAAAAAGACTACATTGCACAATTAAAAAAATTAACAAATACAACAACCCAATACAAACCCTTAAAGTTCTAAGTCATAAAAAGGGAGGGAACCCTCTGATTATCTTCAAAATTAAAATACTGACAGCAAATCGATAGTCTCTTTCTCCCTGGATGAAGAATGCACGTAATAAGCTAGCAGATTAAAATTTTTGACTGCTGAAATAGATTTCAAATATACAATCATGAAAAACAATAGTGGGCTAACAACATGGAAGACTAGGAAGTTAATGTTACAATAAAGATGTAAATATTTACTTACCTGAACTGAATTTTTAAAAGGGAAATCCTCAGAATCAGGACCATGCCTGGCCCTTTTAGTACTACAGGAAACGGGAACACTGGCCATCATGAAACTGATGTTGTTTTCCCAAGGAAAAGGCAAAACAAAACCCCTCTCATGGAAAAGCAACCCTGCCTAACCTTTGCACCACGCATGTGCACATCTAACCCTGCAAAGTCCCTGAAAAGTGCCAACTGTTAAGGGGCCCAGACAATTTTGCTAAACTGGAGAAAAATGACTGTTCAATCAAGTCAGTGTGAGCTTGGACGTAAAGAAGCCGATGATCTCAAAATAAATTCTCTTGTAACTGCTTACCCTAAATCTCGTGAATGGAAAAGTCTGGATATGTAACAGATTTTCTTAGGGACTATGCTTCAAAACATTTTAAGTCAGAGCTATATCTTCTTTCTCTAACTCTTATATTAAATAAAAACTCATTGCCATAGAGTCAGAACTTACTGACAGATGCCCCCCCAACCCAGGGGGTTTTCAATGCTCCTCAGTAATTTGGGGAGGCCCCTGACTAGAGTTTCCCAGTGCCCTGACATCACACTGGGTGAAGTTTCTAATTCAACTTGGCCCTTGTATGAGAAACTTCCTGTACAGATACACAGGCTCAGTGATCTGATGGGGGGGTCGCTGTGGGTGGAGACTGACTTGGAAGCATGGTGCTCAGTACACATAAATATTCAATATGAAATAATTCATTACTAACTTTGGGGCTGGCTAGGTTACCTAAAAATTGGGAAAGTCCACAACTGACAATGCAAAATGGTCATGAAAAAAACCAAAACAAAACAACCAAAAAACCCCACCAAAACCAAGAAAGGCAGAATTTTTAATGTTGCTGAAGGAGTTCTCTGAGAATTTAGCTCTGGAGTCTCTCACCAGAAGATAAACAGTGCAAGATTTCAAAACATTTTTAGAAGAAACTAATCACACAGATTAACACAGTGACTGCTGCAACGGGCTCTTGAGTGTCAGGAAGTGTAAGAATGGCACAGAACAGAAGAGGGTTCAGATCTTTTGTTCATAGGGTCGCTATGACTCGTACTCGACTCGATGGCATCTAATTAACATCTTCAACAGGGAGCTCTGTTGGCCTAGTAGCAAGAAGCTGCACTGCAATCCCAGAAGTACACGGTTCGAATCCACCAGATGCTTTGCTGGAGAAGGGGCAATCTCCTCCTGTACCAGTCAGATCCCATTTGATGGTACAAAGACACAAAATAATAGAGTTTAAAAAAAAAATAACATCACCAAAGGTGCTCTGGTGACAATCTGTAGAGTGTCACTCTGCTGGCCAGAAGAACTCATCACACAAACCATTACTGCACAGCAATAAATTCAAGAACAAATAAACACCAACACTAAAAATCAAGCCCTGAAAAAGCAGGACCTCGCTTGGGAAAAACTAGCCCTGTGGCATTACTGGGGCATGTTTTGAGAAATTCAGACCTCATGACTAAATCAGTATTCATGGCTATCAGGGATGAGAAGGGAAAGTTTTAAAAGTTAATACATAACCAACATTTAATAAGCTGGGTGAAGGTAAGGACTACATAAAATAACGGCTTATCAGACACTGTAATTCATGGTATTAATTGTGATTACTGTCCTAACGAATGAAAATCAGGTATGATTTGTAAACTTTCACTCAAATCCCAAGAAAGTAAGTGCAACAATGAATGAATGGAATTCCAAAATCTCTGTAGATGTACATTGAAAAAAAAAAATCCCAAGAAAGTAAAAAAAAACAAAACCAAAAACAAAAACCAAACCGAACCAACATTGTCAAATCAACCTCCAAAAGGTAAAGATCCATCAAATTCACACCTTTTCACTTCTCAATCATCTGTGTGACATGAGCCACACAAGTTTCCTGTGTCCCTAGGCACCTGGAGATGGGTCAGCGCACACAATGTCCTCTGTCCAAAGAAGCAGCCACAGCCATCAACCCAGGAGCCCACATCATATCCTTATTCCCAACCTACTGGCTGAAAATACGTTTTTTTCCTACCATGCCTTCAGGGCATCCACCACAGACTTGGGGGTTCATCCTTGGCTCTCTCCCTTTTATCCACTGGCTCCACTCTTCTGGATTTGATAATTTGGTGGACCAACTCACAGAACTTCCTAAAAGCACTAATAAAGATTATCAAGGACACAATCAAGACCATCATAAGGAAAGGACACATGGGCAATACTGGGAAGGGTTCCCAACACAGCAGAGGCTACGTCCCAAAGTGTATCACCCTCCCTTCAATCAAAGTTCTTGGAGACTTCAGTGGAGTGCATCATCCTACGGTAGCTCAGATTGGCAGGGACTGTATTTTCACACTAGCCCTCTCCACCTGGGCACCTTACCTGCACACAAACCCTGGGCTAGGCCAGCTGAACCCATCCAGGCTGGGTGCCCCACCTTCCACATCCCACTGACTAGAAGGTGCCTCCCAAGTAACCTGACTGGGTACCTACCCCTGAAGCTCTAGGGGACTGGCAAACTGCCCAGACAGACTCCTGGCCTCGAGCCCCACAACAGGGGGAAAGCACCAAACGCCCTTCTCTCCAACGGCTCACCCCCTCTCTAGTTGCCCATCAATTTCTGTTTGCTTGATTTTGTTATTATGGGGTTTTCATGTTATTTGTGCCATTTCTTTCGACTTTTCACTTGTTCAGCTTTTTTCTTTTTGTTAGATTTCCCCCTTCTTTTTTCCCTGATTCTCTTTCCAATCTTGCACATTTTACTTTTCTCTTTTCCTCTCTTTCTGCTCCACCTGACAACTAATCTATGCAGAAACTGAACAGAGAATTAGCCAAGTTAGCAAATGGTACAGCACTCTTCCCTGGCTTAAACAGATACAAAAAAA